ATGTCTGAAACAAACAGCACATCACTGATATCTCTTGGGACTCTTAGTCTAAGATCCGAACCTAAATCGACCTTCACTGAGCTGATAATAGAACGAAATATATTTTATCATGAATTTAGTATATTAGAAAACATATTAAAAATGGGTTGGCTGAAAAAATCCTGGGCAGACTATTTTTAATTATTTTTCGAAAAATTATTTTTAATTAAATGTTGCAACATCAGGATAATAAAAAAATTGTGTCCTGACTGAAAGTATAAAACGTATAGAATGTGCAGCCGTTGGGTTGTCTACTATTTACCTGGGCGAACTACTGGGTTGTCAGGTAAACACAGGTATATCGATGCCAGTTACTTTCACTGGATTGGATAATTTAAAAAAATGTATATCATCATAAGCGCTGTTTAATTGCGAACACGTTGATATAGGGTTGTCTGCGAAAATTCCGTTCCTATTAGGGGTTTGCGAATTTTAAAGATTTTAATTTCAACGCGCGTGGAAGTGTGTGACAGAGAGATCCGAGGTAAGTATACTGTGTGATAATAAAGGACCCAACATCGCAGTCGCTTGTGATGGGACCCTGAATAGTAGAAAGTGCGCATGCTCGGTGTGTAAACTATGGAGGGTAGAGGTACCTCTACTACCCTTCATATAGTAAACAGTGCGTGTTATTTTGGAGCAACTGATATTTCAGTAGCAAAAAAAAATAATTAATTAATTACATAATAATTAAATATATTTATTATAATACTAATATATAAAAACAATATAATATCAATATATTGCGTTATAATCATAATGATATATCTATAATCTATAATAGACAATAAAAATATCAATTACTTACTTTGAAATTTTTTTGCTCTTTCTGGAAATAGAAACAAAGTGGACCGCCAAAAATTTAAATTAAGAAATAACAAAAAAGATAGACTAGACATCTTGTATTACGATTTAAAATTTTCTATACGTTCTATACTTTCGGTCAGGACACAATTTTTTTATTATCCTGATGTTGCAACATTTAATTAAAAATAATTTTTCGAAAAATAATTAAAAATAGTCTGCCCAGGATTTTTTTAGCCAACCCATTTTTAATATGTTTTCTAATATACTAAATTCATGATAAAATATATTTCGTTCTATTATCAGCTCGGTGAAGGTCGATTTAGGTTCGGATCTTCTACTATCTAGTGTTCTTTGCTCAAATTCCATGAGTTGATTTCTGTATGAGATCATAAAAGCAGATTCTTTATGTTTCCTGTAGTAAAGGTTTCTCAGAAATTTCCTCTGTACTTTTTTTATCATTTCAGAGTATAGAGTAATTGAAAAATACTCGAAAGGAATTATTTATCGTTCCAAACGGAGTTTTCACTTGAACATGAGTGTAAGTATTGTGTTTTTGTGTTCCTCATTTAATTCAGTGATTACATTATCGCCATCGTGTGCTGTTCTGGTGTTTCGTGTTGTTTCATCAAATCCTCACATTATTTACGCTGGTGAGTGGAGAGACAATCTCTCATATTTCCCTGTTTATATTTAACTTAATTACTTTATATGTTTTCAAAATCACAAAGGTACCGTTTGTTGAATATTTTCCGATGAAGGAATACTTTCTTCTGAAATTCGTACTTTTCGTTCACAACGGTATTTTTTCAGAAGAAAATAATGCGAAAAGAGCAAACCAGAAGAAAATAAGACGATTCGAGATTATTCCATGAAAACATATTATCTGCCTATACAGGGTGTTTCAGATTTAAATATACATACATCGATGTGTCTACTATCTTTTATAACTGTGATACAGAACGTACCTAATCTTGATTATGGCAAAATCTTCATTTGGTCAGCTCATAACTTTTGAACCATGGTGTATAATCGATTAGTACTCGATAGGTATATTCAACGACTTTTCAACAGGGTGATTCCAATTTGACTTTTTTTTTCATCATCATTTTTCGAAATAGAATTTTCCTTAAACTCCTAATTCAAAGTCCAATTTAATCATAAAAAAATGATCAGTTCCAAAGTTCAACTTCATTAGAGTCAAATTAGGTGAACTATCGATAATTTTCATTCCATAGAATAAATTGTTAATTAGATATTTTCAAGTGCTTGTTACATTTTCAGTATTTCAAAAAAATGATAGTTTGAAAGTTATATACATGAAATTCTTTTTTTTTCAATCTTACTTTCAAGGTCAATATCTCCGAAACGAAGAGCGATATACTTTTTTTTATATGAAGTACCAACATTATTTTGGCTCACTCTACCAGTCCTATCATTTACAATATTACTTTTCCGGACATCCTGTATAAATTGCAAATTTTTCCTAAAACCATTTTTCACTCATTTGGGATTGAATCAAAGTTGCCAATAACAATTAGATAGCTGTGGACACAACAGAAATGCCATGGAAACAAAACAGGCATTTTTTGACATCTCTGTCGGTCTTTGAACTGAAATGGGTTATTCAGCAGTGGAAAAATACGAAATTGTATAATTGTTATGTTATGAAAATATCGCGAAAACTTCGGTAATGCAGCAAGAATTTAGTCTTAATCGGATTTCTTTTCCAGATTAACAAGCAAACAGACAGAAAGCAAAGTGTTTGATACTTGCCACTAAGTCGGAGAAAACCATCCAGTCAAGACGGACCGAACAGAAAATCCGCAGAGAGAACTGACAGAACTGACCAGAGTATACTTTCCAGAATTCTGATCTTTATATTCGTACGGAAGGCGATATATTGAATTCCTTTCCAGATTTTCAAGCAAACAGATAGACAGATATTCACCTTTATGTCTCTATGGAAACACGACAGGTACCCTTACGAGGGGAGAGTATCAACTCGGCGTTTATAAACCCTCTCTGCAAAGGAGGTCGGCGCATGGTGGGTTTGGTATATACAGTGTTTTTCATTGCAGAGAAAATCGTTGTTTATCTGCCTACCTCGTCTGCATTGAGAGAGTAGATGAATTGATGAAAAATCGTAAAAATATATCGCATTTCAGTTACGAATGTTGAAAACAATATTCAGACTATAGATTTATATTTTATGTACGTCTCACGATTCAAATTTCAAATTGATGCTTAGTTTTAGATCCGAGCAGCACACTTTTTGGCATTCATGGTCCTTACTATAACTCACGAAATTCAAAATTTAGCAGATGTCTACTGGGAAGACCACTATTCGGAAGGAGAGCGAATATGAAGCAATTCAGTTACGGTTGTTGGAAATATTATTCAGGTATGTTTCAGATTCAACAACATTTTTAATTCTCATGGACTTTCTGATATGTGATATTTAGTTGCAGATCTGAAAAGCAAAGTATTTGATACTTGTCAATAAATTGGAGAAAACAATACAGTCAAGATGGACCGAACAGAAAATCCGCAAAGAGAACTGACCAGAGTATACTTTTAAGAATTTTGATCCTTATGTTCGTACGGAAGGCGACATATTGAATTCCATTTCAGATTCTCAAGCAAACAGATAGACAGATATTCACCTTTATGTCTCTATGGAAACACGACAGGTACCCTTACGAGGGGAGAGTATCAACTCGGCGTTCATAAATCCTCTCTGCAAAGGAGGTCGACGCATGGTGGGTTAGGTATATACAGTGTTTTTCATTGCAGAGAAAATCGTTGTTTATCTGCCTACCTCGTCTGCATTGAGAGAGTTGATGAATTGATGAATAATCATAAAAATATATCGCATTTCAGTTACGGATGTTGAGAAAAATATTCAAACTTTATAGATTTATATTCTATGTACGTCTCACGATTCAAATTTCAAATTGATGCTTAGTTTCAGATTCGAGCAGCACACTGTTTGGCATTCATGGTCTTTATTATAACCCACGAAATTCGAAATTTAGCAGATGTCCACTGGGAAGACCACTTCGGAAGGAGAGCGAATATGAAGAAATTCAGTAACGAATGTTGGAAATATTTTTCTGGTATGTTTCAGATTCAACATCAGTTTTGATTCTCATCGACTTTCTGATATGTGATATTCAGTTGCAGATCCGAAAAGCAAAGTGTTTGATACTTGTCAATAAATTGGAGAAAACAATCCAGTCAAGAGGACCGAACAGAAAATCCGCAAAGAGAACTGAACAGAGTATACTTTCAAGAATTCTGATCCTTATGTTCGAACGGAAGGCGATATATTGAATTCCTTTCCGGATTCTCAAGCAAACAGATAGAAAGATATTCATCTTTATGTCTCTATGGTGCTAAATAAACATTTATAAATACCTAGATATTTGATCTGTTGGTTGTATAAAATTGTTTGAATCAAGGTAAAATGCTTCTATTCTGCTCATGTATAGCTGTATTTTAACTTGATAGTTTTGGAAGTACATGTGATCTAAGTTTGCTATCATTACTATAGAAATAATACTACAATAATAGGAATCTATAAAATCCTATGCAGGATATCATATATATTATCTTAATATGATTCAGAGAAGGCAAGCATTTCATGTAGAACCATAAAATACTGACCTGCACATTTTTCCAATGTAATCTTTCTTGCCCACCCTTGTCTATTGCAATTCAAAAGTCCATTATCACAATAGGTATTTGAAAGAGAAAATGACATAATTATTTTTCCTAGTCCTAGTTTCAACTTGGGAAAATTCCATGTTTCATTGTTATGTCTGAAAAGTTCACTTTGTGACCACTTTTCTCGAAAAAATTCATCAGATTCAGAAAGACCAGACAAAATTTTATAAGAACTGCTCTTCAATTTGTACGGCACACTTTGACCAATTCAATGAAAAAATATGGAACAAAAACTAGCAATTATTGTTTTACTGGCAGTGACGTATTCGCGTCGTAGCACACCATACTAATTTCACCATGATAGGTTATAAGTTGATACTTAGAATTATAAAGGAACATTTTATCTTATTCTTTTTAGAGCGTTTTTATGATTTTTTTTTATTTTTAATTTTAAATTTTTCAATTCACAGGAGGTGATTGTTACTTACATTGGATATCCTCGTCAAATTACTTCCCGGCGGTCCAACGGCCGCCCCCTGCGCCCCGCCCTCCTTCAACATCGCCTGCCTTATCGACATGCCCTGATTGGCCGCCGTCGCCGCCCCCTTCTCGTACCCCATAGTTGCCCCGCCTCCCGCGTAGCTGTTGCTCCAAGGCGACTTGAAGACGTCGCCGCCGCCCGACTTGAAAATGTCGCCGCCCCCTTGCGGCTTAGCCTGCTGCATGGGCGTGTAGTTGGAGGGCGGGTAGGCGGGCGGGAAGGCGAGGTAGTCGGGGCGGTAATTTGCGGCGGGCGGGGGCGGGGCGGTGTTCTGCCACCAGGCGGGGTTCGGCATGGGCGGCACTTCTGGAGAGCCAGAAAAACGTTGCATCACAGTTTATGGAATACTATCAGTTATACAGGGTGGTCCGGTTTGTAAAAGTTAAAATTCAATAGTGTGTTGTCCTCCATAAAATGATAAAAAAAAGTTTACATAAACATACTTTTGAACTCGTCGTTTTCGAGATATAGTGCAATGGCCTCAGAACCATATGCGTCTCAAAGAAAAAATCATCAGAATATCTAAGAAGAATGTAAAAACTTACACAGTAGCTTCGTCAGATGATATACTGGTACAGTGAACTAAACCAACCTTGGCTTGCTTAACTTTTATATATCCTACTATGAAGGATTAATTACCTGTGGACAGGTTTGATAATCCTTCATTTTCGGAAATTAGGCACAATATCTACATCAAAATACGGTGTACAGGATTAACTTGAAAGGGTTGATGTCAAATATATATTATTACTTACTAAGAAGACAAATTCAACAGTGGTGAACTATTGAGGTCTAATTGATCGTTGAGTAAAATGTCAGAATTTTTTTTTGTGGATCTTGTCCTAAGGAATATGTCGGTCAGACAGGCCGTACGTTTAATCAGCGCATTCATGAACATAGGACGAATTTCTTGAAAAAGAAAATAAATTCAACATACGCCAACAGTATATTAGAAGAAAACCATAGTTTCGATGATAATTTCGAAATTCTACACGTAGAAAATAAAGGAATGAAACTCAATAATTTTGAATCATTAGAAATTAACAAACCAAGAAATTCTGACATTCAACTTAACGATCAATTAGACCTCAATAGTCCAACACTGCTGAATTAGTTTTTTTAGGAAGTAATAACATATATTTGATAACAACCCTTTCAAGTTAACCCGGTATGTTTGTGTTTACTGGGATCCCCAGAGCAATGGGTTGTTCCAATAGGATAGAAAATAGTACTAGACAAATTTTTATTTTCGAGCTAGATTCAGAATGAAGCATAGTTGATGTATATTTGTGATTTGGAGGGAAATTAATAATGAAGGCATGAAATAAATGTTGGGGAAGCAGGTTCAGGATACTCCATGGTGAGACACACTAGGCGGAAACACTACTTGGCGATGTATACTAATTTAAAATCTGAAATACGAATAATGCGATTATTTTGGACAACTTTGAAACTATTATCAATTTTCAGGGCGCTCTAGCGACTGAATCAAACAAGATATCGAGCCAATTTTGATCTTGTTTAACAGTAAATTTTATAGACCTTAATTTTTGTATGATATATTTGTCCCGAATTTTCATGGTTTATTGCGATTTTCGTAGTGAAGCCATATTTTAATCTAGTTGATAACTAGATTTTCAGATTCAGCATCACAAAAACCATATAAATCCGTCGAGAAAAATTCTTTGTCAATTTTTTTTTGAATCCATTGCATTCCGTCACCAAATGACTGGATTAAAAAGAAACCTACCTTGCTCGATGGCCGCACCCCTGTGACTCCACGCATTGAAGGGATGCGACGGCGGCAAACTGACGTTCTGATAGGGCATCGCCGCTTGCACGTACCCGCCCTGTTGGGCGGGGTGGTAGCCCAAGGGCGGCCCCTTCTGGTACCGCGAAGCCTGCCCCATCTGCCCACCGTCCTTCTTCGAGCCATACTGATAACCCTGCCCCTCTATCTGCATGTTGGGAATTTGGCGAAGAGCCGTCTGCCCTTCCATCTGCATGTTGCGATGGGCCGTCTGTCCCTCCATTTGTAGGTTGGACATGTTGCGAAGGGCCGTCTGCCCCTCCATTTGTAGGTTGGGCATGTTGCGAAGGGCCGTCAGGTAGTCGGGTTGAGAGGTTGATGATGGTGGGGGGTTGGAAGTGGCGAATGAGGGGTTGAAGGTGGGGGGAGGTCGCAGGGGCGGGGGCTGGGCGAAGGGGTGGGGTTGAGGTTGAAGGGGAGGGGGGAGGGCGGGGGGCGGATCGAATTTGGCGGGTCTGTCTTTGTCGGGCGGTTCGTCGACGATGAATTTCACCTGGAAATAATTTAACCAACGTAGTTGATCCATATATGACTCACTTCAATAGACGAACTCGATTCGATAGTCTTCAATTATTCAACATTTTATTATTTTGAATTTTCTTAATTTTGTTCTATTTTCTATGTCACTTCGAATCAGAACATTTCATGATTTTGACTTGACGTTTGTCATTCCGATGTTGTGTTTTGTCCTCGATGTCATTATTGTCAAAATGTAATAAATAATACTCTAAATCATCTCTGCAACATTTTGATATAATCAATAACGATCAAATTAATTGGTACATGTTTCGGACATATATATGTCCATCCTCAGCCTAATAAAATTACTACATCTCTGTCCTAGAATGAAAGTGAATGAGTACATGAAATTCTTTTTAAACTTGATACAGAATGCTTACGTATTTGTCCATTACCTCTGCTGAATATGAAATTGTTTTTATGTGGTGACTGTGAGTTCTTTCACCCTTCCTGGTAGAAAAATTTTTTTGGATTCCATTTTTCTTTCGAATATCTGATGACAACTATTTTGTTCCTAGTTTTGCATTTATCTTTGATATTTTTAGTGAATTCTTTATTCTGATTGTCCCAAGATTAAAAATCCTCTAATCATGCATTTAAGATTTCCTTTACACCAATTTTTTTGTTGTATAATAAATAATATGTCCCACTTGTATGTGTCACCCACCCCCTTTATCCTCGTAATTCTCAACATACTTCGGTTATTCATAAACTTTTTTGAAATATTCTGTGCTCACTTTTTCTTTATATCAACAGGAAGACTCAGAAAAAAATTTTTCAAATAGAATGATCTAGATTTTTTTCCATAAACCCGTCAATCTAAATTAAAAAATAAATAAATTTATATGTATTATATCAATATATTATCGAATAAATTTTAAATCATCTTATTTTAATGAAACAATTTTTTTTCAAGTGACCAAAATATGTTGATAATTATGAGGATTGTAACTTCGACAAAACTGTTTCATACCAGTTCAAATTCTAGTTATTTTTGATGCAAAGTTGATGTATTGTCAAGAATTCAGAAGCGACATTTATTTAAATGGATTGCTTCAGTACTGAAATGATACCAAAGTCATGAATCAAAATATCATCAAACTACTCCAACTATCTGACCAAAGTTCAGGAGAATTTTGTCAAAAAACTAATAATAGCAACAGAACGTTCAAATTTGGGACACACGTGAAACAATCTGTATAGAAACAACTTTCTCAGTAAAAGTTTTTGAAATTCAAACAAATATGTCTATTTTCTCAATTAACTTGAAAAAATGTTGTGGCAAAGTCACGTGACCACGACTGATCAGGTCATTTTCCATTATTTGTAATGCAGAACATAACGCCTAAGTCGAATTTCAACATACATTATTTTTTCAATATGATGCCAAGTTTTTGAATGACATTATATACCAGCAGTCTAGTTTTCAATGCGAATAATTCAACGTTAAGTTGTAGTCGTTGAAAAAAATCGATGTAAATATACTTTTTCTACTACTGCTATGAAAAGTAGCGCATTTCTCATAGCTTACTTAGTTTCAAAACCATGTATTGCTCATACTGTGGGAAATATTTTTTCTCACGGCACTTTGCCAACACCACATACATTTTCATGGCGAATCAACAAGAATCGACCAAAACTTGGCTGCTGTTCAGCTTGGAATAGTTGTCACAACTGTCAGAAGAAGTTTTTGAAATCCTTTAGGGTATTTCTCATTAGTGCTTTTGATAGAAATCGCATTTTCCATCAGATATTATTCCAACAATTTATAATCAATAATATGATGTATATACCGAGATCTTCACCTTGATGAATACACCGCCAGAGACAGAGATAATGGAAAAAGCTGCGAGAGTTGGATTTGTTACCGGAAATTTCAAGAAAAAAGTATGAATTGGCATATACGAAAAATTCATGGAAATAGTCTGAGGAACTAGGAAAGGCGTCTACTCTTTGGTCACAATATTCAATGTGGCATAGTGTCACATTATAAAATGAATACCAATAAGCTACATAACTTGGATTCTTTGGATAAGTGCAGTTGTAGAAAAAGTACACTCGTGTGTTTGCATCACTCGCCCTTCAGGCTGGTGCCACAAACTTTCACACTCGTGAGAAAAGTTGAACTTTCTCCACTTGTTGCACAATATAATATTTCCTACGAGCGTGCCGAAAAGTAAGTTTTCCGCAAGATTTTTCGTTTTGAAAGTTGTACGATTTTAGTTTTCCGCATTATTTTTAATTTTCCGCACGATTTCGAAAGAAATACCAGGAGACATGTGGTGATTTATCAAACTAATATCCAGTGACTCTAGTGGTGATAACTGTTGGCACCAAATAAACATACCCATAGCAACAGTCCCTATAAACTGACAGTAGTGGCAGTCAACAAATAAGCATTTCAAGCGTCTTTTTTCCGTGTACGTAATACCAATTGGAAATGGACAACTCAGGAAACTTTCAAGATCTCCCCCCGGAAATAATTGATGCAAACACTAACCCATCAAATTCAAATAAGAAACGATGTTCTTCAAGATGTTGTGGCATCTGCTTTAATACAGCATGCAACAAACACAAATTGCACTTTCATTTTCAATATTTACCATCGTTAATGTTTTAGTTATTGTTATTTCAATGTTCTTCAAATAAGTTTCCATGAAACAAAAATCCGCGTCGTTCGTGCAACTGCTGTCGCGTGCGGAAAAGAATACTACTTTCCGCACTTGTTAGGTAATAATTATTTGCAACTTGGTTCACATCATGCGTGAATCACTGAACTATAACCCTACAAATGGAATGCCGATGCATGATATCAATAATACGCTCATTAGAACCTCGCGCAGACATGGCGGATTTAAGGTTGTTATTATGCGCACTTATTTTGAAACAAGGGCCGGTCTTGCCAATGAAAACGATTATTTCTTGCCCATTGAAGTATGGGGAATTATAATGTAAAATAGTGTGCGAATATACATTTTCCGAAGACTGCCATCAAATGTTGATATTCGAACACAAAATACTTCGTCGTTATTTTGCCAAGCTTTGAATTATAATGTATAATTCTATGTGAATTTACGTTTTTCGAAGACTGTCATCAAATAATAACATTTGAAGACAAAATACTTCAGCGTTATTTTGCCGAGCTAAAAATCTAGAGAAAAAAAATTCAATTTTTTTGAAACTCTGTCACAATAGTTATTGATTATTGGTGGAAAAATAACACCAATTTGTTCATTTTTTTGTCGAATTGTCAGCCCTTCCATGAACTCAGTTTATTTTATTTGCAAGTATATATATCTCTACGGTAGTTTCTATTAACCTGAGTTTATGATTTTCTAAAAGTGAATTGTCAAGTCGGGCATGATCATAATAGGAGAAGTCTAATTTTCTTTTCCCATTTCGCCACAATAACACCATACATCCCTATGACCCATACTTATTGTCTAATAATAGTCTTTTGAAGAAAAGTCACCAAAATTACGGTCACAACTCAAAAATATAAACGAACAAAATACCATCCAAATACCAGGACACAAACACGAATCTATAAAAGACACGATCGGTAGCAATGAAACAATGGAAATAAAAACCATATGAAAACAAACAATAACAAAGGCGTAGCAGATGATGGGCACTAAAATGTCTAAGCCTCTCCTGATGGGAGCACACCTAATCAACGACATACGTCTGCGGTTGTAAGCGATTTCGATAATCACGGACATTCTTTGCATATCTTGGTTTTACTGCGTCGACGCAGAACCTTAACGTCAAGATCTCCATGGGAGACGTAAAATATTCTCGCGCAGGTAGCTGTATCAGCATTTCATTTGTAGGGTTATAGTTCAGTGTTCAGTGGCGTGAATAAGTCTATATCAGTTTAAAGACTTTATTAATTTTATTCCAATCATAAGATCATGCATGGTTCTGCAAATTCTGCAGTCTCATTTTTACAATGTCAATGTTTCATATTCAGTTCAAATTCTCAAATGTTGACTCATTACCTGCTTATTGTTCTCTTCCATTTTTCTGAATATTGACTGCAATGCTATATTCTGTTTTCCTTTCTTGGTTTTCGGATCAATTCTGTTATTAATTGGGTTCGAATTGAACATATTAGACACAGTAGAAGTCAAATCCACAGAAGTCGACGATGACAAAAGCTCTCTTTCTTCCCTGGATTTTTCCAGAGATCCTTGTGGCTTCAGAATACCCGTTTTTCTTTCCATACCTCCAAATGGAAAATCATCGATAAAGACTATTTTCATAAACATTAGAATGACTTACCTTTCTTTTCATTGTTTTCCGAATTTTTGACGATACTAAACGACTTCATTTCTTCCAATAAATCATTCGTTGGATCAGGTTGAATACAAACAGGTTCAAAATTAATTTCACCATCCTTCTCACTCCTACAAATATTGAATGAAATTATGGTTGTAACCTCAGATTTCATTTGAATTAAAACTCACTTGACCACCAATTTGCTTCCATTCACGTCTGTTTCAGTCAACCATGAACTAATGTTCACAATTCGTTTCATCCTCACCAGTCTTTCCACTTTTATGTCATCAATCCCTTCCTTGAAATCAAATTCTTTGAAATTTTTCGATAAAGGTAAAAATCCCTGTAAATCTTTGTCTTCTGGTAACGGATATTTAGAATCTGAAAATTGTTTCATCAACTTGGTAAGAGACAAAAAATTGGTAGCTAGTGACATTCTTTGGACAATCTATATACGCGTACTTACATTTATTGAAGTTGAAACCTTTTAGGTGTTTGAGAACGTTATTCAATAATTTAACCAGACTAGGCCAAATCTGTAATCTGCTTGTGAAGACCTTTTCCTTCAGAACATCTGGCTCATTTTGGATGAAATATAACAGGAGTTTAACTGAAAAATCAGTCCCGGTGAGAAATAATAGGTGAAGAAGGATCTGGCTTGCATAAATCTTCATAGTATAGCACCATATGAACAATAAACAAAATACAAGTTTTTTGGATCTCTTCATAATTTGGATTTTCAAGAAAATATGACAGAACATTACTCTTCTCATGATAAGATATACATTTTCAATTTGTTTTTCATTAGGTATATGGATTTTTTATTGTTAAATTTCGAAAAAAAAAACACTTGATAACCGCCAATTCCGCCTTTCTAGAGAAAATACAGGCTGGAGTTTTGGTGGCGTTGAATTCAACTAAGTTGTTGATTCCCCAGGCTGTGATTTCAGCAAGGTCTTCATTGACAGCATTGACCTGCCTGCGCCGTGAGTTGTTAGTTTCCTGGGAAGAAATGGGAATTCTGGAAGAGAACGCAGTATGGAGGGTACTATCATTTGCAAAGCTGTGGATAGGGCAAGTTGTTACTCCCAACAGATCATTGATATGAAGAAGGAATAATGTCGGTGCCAAAATTGATCCTTGTGGAACGTTGGAATTGATGCCAATGGTATCAGGCGATACACCGTCCACCATCACGTGAAGCGATCTGCCTGAAAGAAAACTCGTAAGAGATGGCATAGCTGAGGTGGTAAGCCGTATGATGGTAGTTTGTGGAGGAGTCCTTCGTGCCAAACACGGTCGAATGCTTTCGATATGTCCAACGCGACAGCTAGAGATTCCCCGTGTTTTTCTATTGAAGATTGCCATAAATGGGTGACGTAGGCAAGTAGATCTCCAGTAGATCTTCGGTGACGAAAGCCGTATTGTCTATCATTGATGATTCCTGAGCTCTCCAGATATTTGGAAAGCTCAATATTGATGGCTTTCTCCATCACTTTGGAGATTACTGATGACAGGGCAATGGGCCTGTAGTTGTTGGGCAGGTTCTTGTTCCCTTTTTTGGAGATTAGTTGGACTCTAGCTGTCTTCCAGCATGATGGAAAAATACGCGACCTGTACGAGACGGCAAACAACTTGCAGAGAATCGGTGTTAATTCGAGTGCACATTTTTCGAGGATAATGGGTGGAATTCCATCAGGGCCGTTAGCCTTATTCGTTTCGAGACCAAGCAAAATTCGTCTGATAGTGCGTTGACGGAAGACGATTTCGGGCATTCGACTCTCAACGGGTGGAATGTCTGGCGGCACTTTTCCTTGGGAATCTGAAGTTGCTATGGTTACGATACGAAATACAGGCTTTAAATTGATCGAAAATGTTTGGTGTGAAATTTTCACTAAAATACATAAGTTGGTATGGTGTTGGTGCCAAAATTGATCCGTGTGGAACGTTGGAATTGATGCCAATGGTATTAGGCGATACACCGTCCACCACCACGTGAAGCGATCTGCCTGAAAGAAAACTCGAAACTCGATAAAAGATGGCATAGCTGAGGTGGTAAGCCGTATGATGGTAGTTTGTGGAGGAGTCCTTCGTGCCAAACACGGTCGAATTCTTTCGATATGTCCAACGCGACAGCTAGAGATTCCCCGTGTTTTTCTAATGAAGCTTGCCATAAATGAGTGACGTAGGCAAGTAGATCTCCAGTAGATCTTCGGTGGCGTATTATCTATCATTGATGATTCCTGAGCCTTCCAGATATTATTACCTACCTGCCGGAAGCGCATAATAATCCATCAGTCCCTCGTCCATCTTCAGCGTATGCACCGGCATCAGAAGAGCGCTCAATGACCCCGCAATCAAATCCAAAACCAACTCCCGGACTTTCTTCTCATCCTTCGTCAATTCCTTCCGGACCGACCCCAGTCGGTCCAGCGAGTACAAATTGATGCTCGAAATCTTCATCAGGTCGTCCTTGGTGAAGCTCTGCGTAGCCACCAGAGCGGTCATCACGGAGTTGAGGCTCTTCACGGAGAGTTCGGCTTGTTTCAGTTCGGAGCAGGTGTGGAAGTAGGCGTGAGTACACATAAAGAGTTGGACGAACTCGTTGACTGTCATCTTCGTCTGGATTTTGTCCGGTTGGATGCTGAAATGACACCGTTCAACGGTACAATTCGAATCAAATATTTTATTCATTCAAAAAAAAAATTCAGGTATAGAATTTGTCAAGGTCAAGAAAGAAGAGAGGAAGAAAGAATTTTATTCATCAATGAGGATTAATGCTTTGTTTTCATGACAACGTTTTGCGTCGTGCGTCTTGGGTTGCCTCGTTCTAATTGGCTATTTTGACTGACGCATTATTTCGTAGGAATGAAGTTGAAAATATTTAACTTCTTTGCGTCGAACGCGAGAAAGCGAGTAATGTGGGATAGAGAACCTCTACTCTTGAAGGTTATGTTTTAGGTTTTCCCAATCACCCAAAACATTGTTAAATCAATAAGTTTAGCATCGAAAATGTATTGTTGTTTTCGGTTTTCAATAAATAAGTGATAATGTTCATAATACTCACTCTAATACATAATACATCATCATTTTCAAATTGGAATATTCCGAAAACGTATTTTTATAGATCTCAATCGCAGATAGGTGATTAGGTTTTTCTCAATTCAGAATTTTTTTCCACGTCCTGTATGATGAATGTCAATTTATCATACATCCAAAAATCCTTTATGTATGGTTTATCAACCTTCCATAGTAGACCCCTCCCAACATTTTTCCTTCGATACGTCTATTTTCACGGATTCATGAGTGTAAAATGATAGTTCCTAAATGTGCATGACTCAGTTTCACCAGTTCGATCTTCTGAATGGCTCACCTTTTTCCTTATAGAACTGGCGGTCTAGATTAGTTTATAAGTCGGTGGTCGGACTCTGGCTCTTTCGCCAAAATATGAAAATAAACTATTGCCATTTTCAGATAATACACTTGTTTGCATAATCGGCGAGAGGACTTGTGAAAAATTAAAAAATGTAAAAAATTCACAAACAATAAGAGTTCGTCAGTTGATATACTGGTACAATGAACTATAATTCATTGTACCACTATATCACCTGACGAAGCTACTGTGTTAGCGAAAAATGTCGTGTGTTTGAGAATTTTGTGAAAATCTTATCGTTTGTGAAGTTTTTACACTTCTCACACTTTTTTATGTAAATAATGTGTATGCGCTGTTCGAAATTGTTGAATATCGGAGCTATAATTTCAAACGTACCGTCATGGCGTCCATTAGTGATTCACACGATACCAACGAGACGAGACTTTCATAAAGTCTCTTCTCGCCGATGAAATATGAAGTCTTGTCTCGAGTCTCGTCTCGCAGCCTCGAGTCTCGTCTTGTCTTGCATCTCGTACGAGAGTCTCGCAAATGTATCGCAATTTCGTCATGCATAATCTTGTTCCAGTCTAGTAAGGGATATTCACCTAAACCTACTTTTTAGGTATGATGTAGAAGTGGGAAGAGAAAATTACAACAAAAATAACATTATTTATTTAAAAGTAAGTACCTACATCATACATCTAAACAAGAAAAAAAAACAGCATTATATATTCGAAGGTTATAAAAATGGAATAAAATGTTTTGTCTACCTGTGCTAAATAGTCTGAATTCTTTCTAAATATATTGTATTATGAATGAAATTCTCAAGTCTGCAGTCGGCACGCAGAAATATTTACCTGCCAGACTCTTGCACAAGACACGAGAAGTCTTGCACGAGACTCGAGGCGAGACCAATAAAAGTCTCGTCTCATCCCTTGTTGTCCGAGTCTCGTCTCGAGTCTTGTCTCGAAAACGAGACGAGACCATGCGAGACTCTCGCGGGCACCACTAGCGTCCATTTGGCGATACGTGGAATACATGGTGACATGCTGTTTTGTTATTGGTCAGATAATCCTCCATTCACACTCACGAAGCAAGGTTGTCCAAGTCACCAATAAAACATAATAGGAGGAACCCATGATATTATAGTTCCTTCTTGACTCTTTTGAGCAACCAGCTTGTCTGAATATTTCTAATATTCCATAACCAACTTTCATGTAAATGTTGGAGACTTGGCAACATTGTACTGAATGCTGAGAAGGGACAAGACCACGCCCACAAGTCGTGCACGCGGTGTTGTCACGTTCACTTCTTCCAATGTCCTCTAGTGTGAATTAATATAATTACTATTTACACAAATTGTCACAAATGTATTATAAGCAATAAGCCACAAATCATAAGGGAACATTTTGAGACAATTGATTTTGTATTGCTAAAGACTCGGCTAAAGAGGAATATTACCAAAACATAATTGAGAATTTATTAATGTTTGAATAACTAATATTTCTGAAGTTCCCAATCATATTTCAGCACATGACAACTGTGCTATTGTCTGCCCATACTTATGAAATCCTAACATCAGTTTTTACAGGTGGTAAATTTCTATTCCTTTGAAAATTACCATGGCATTATTGATGAATTTAGCACCTAAACATCAACAGAAAAATTCTAAAAAAATATAGTCCACTCCCCTATTGCTATTATTTGCGAGAATTGACCAGCCCCGGGGTTCATCGCGGGAAAGAGAAGGACGTATAACTCGCTCTCGCTCAGATGAACCTTTTTTCTTGAAGAAGGAGAATTTTTCTTGAGGAAGGAAAATATTGTTTCTGCATAAAAAATGAGAAAACCTAACCTATCTATTTTATGAGTATATCTGTACTTGTTTCGTTGACCTGTGAAAAACTTAATGTTTATTAACACCAAATAAAATATTCTATTCTATTCTAACCTAACCTAACCTAACCGAACCTCACCTCTGGCCTAAACCACAAACATAGAAAACCCCTAAATGAACCTATTTCCCATAGAGAATATTTTTTAGAAATCACTTGAGAACAAGGAAAAAATAAAAAAAAGATGAGCCTCGCACGGATTCGAACCCCGGCCCACCGGCTTGGCATGCCGATGCTCTGCCTACTGAGCCAACCATCAGTTGCTTACGAGACGAAGTATGATGAAGTACTGTGCTTCGGCTATGTGCCAAATGCATTCTCGCGAGTGAGAGGGCATTATATGTCCTTCTCTCTCCCGCGATAAACCCCGGGGCTTGTCAATTCTCGCCTATTATTTTGACTTATGTACTCCATATTTTCATTTCATCAAAGTACTGAACAATTTTTGGGTGATTGAACCTGCATTTGCATGTATGAAAACCTAAAATTCAGCTTTGATACTGATGAAAATATGCAAGTAAAACTGGGATAAATAACAAGATATTGAAGAACAGTATTGAAAAAAACTGTGAAAAATTTAATTTTATGCTCAATATGCAGTGAGAAAGCAATGATTTTCCAGTATAGCATATTCTCCCTGAACTATAGTTTCCCTTTTGCTATAGCTATGTGGGTAATTTTTGATTGTAAGAGCAGTTGAAACCACATGACTGGAAATTCTTCAAATGATCAAAATGAACAAATATGAATCCTGGAATATTATGACCATTGTTACAAAGGTTCTAGTTAGTGTTACACTCCTGGATATACCTACCAAGAAGTGTATAACTCACCATTCCTTATCAATAGTGGAATTGAGGGTACTTGATAAATTTGTTACAGATGCAGGAAAAGGATTTTTCACAGCAATCCCTCTGATATAATAAAATACAGTTGACAGTTTGTTGCCCTGGCTAGCTTCCAAAAGAGCTAGTTGGTTATAGGGATGTCCACTGGTTGGAGAGACTAAGATTGCTTGCCTGAAATATATGTTTTTGATGAACTGAGACTACTTACAGTATAAGAGTCATCACTCATTTCAATACAATAAGCATCTTATACCAAGAGTTGACTTTCTGGAACCTACTTGTAAAAACTCTCAGCTTGTATTCGCTGATTCCTATATCTGGATATGTCTCCTAAATGAACAAGGCAGTATTGACATATGTAAAGGCAGGAAGATGTTTGAGGCAAGTCAGTCAATTCTGAATTTCTAGTAGTTTGTCCAAATACACTGCCTCTCCTTCGAAATGGCAGATCTACATCAAAGGTATTGCATAATTCTTGTAATAATGTAATGTAAAAACCTGAAGCAGCTTCTAGAGCCCAAGTCAACAGTGCCTGGCAGTCTGATCTATTAGGATTCTTTTTATCTCTGGCCAATTCTTGTAAACTTGAGATGTGGTTTTTGAATCCAATATTCCACAAATCTTGTTCAACCTTTTTGTCTAGGGCATACTCAAGATCCAATACCAACACTTGGTGGTAGATTGTCTGTAGTTTCTGCTGGTTTGTCCATGCTTCAGCATTATTAAGCCAGTCGCATTTACTGGAAACCTTGACTTTCAACTCTTCTGCTTGCCTGGAAAAAATATTTTTTCAATCACAATACACAATTCAAAAAATGGTCCTACTTCAAAACCTGCACAGCTGCCTTGTAACCCATTGTTCTGGTAATTACTAAATAATTTTGATCAGAGCAAATTATTAGCAAATAACTTATATTGATTAAACATTTTATTTTTTAACGCGGTCGAATTTCATTGACAAATTATTATTGCATGCATGTAATGTGAAATGTAATTTTAAAAAGATTCTTATAAATATTTATATCCGATTCCCAGTGATAATTGACAAATTCCAGTCCAGCTGTCATTTTGACTCATTTTACATATTGTGGTTGTCAACTTGTCAACAATGTCACTCATCAATCACTTCTTCTACTTATTCTTCTTCAACTTCTTTTCATGGCCTCTTGTTATAGGATATACAACCAATGGGCCCAAACCATCTATCAGTCATTCACCTGTTTATCATTTTACGTCACCTCTTTTTTCTATTTTTCTTCTGATGTGCATGTTGCACAGAACTCATGCATGTTGGTTGTGCAATGCTGGATAAGAAACGAGTAGAAGAAATCATGAAGATTTTGTGAGGTTAGGAATTCTGTTTACACTTTTTTGAGTTTGTCCATTGTCTGTGGGTGAGCTTTGTTTTATTTTATGTTTTTTTTAATGAATGGTTTTGCTTTTGCCTCAATTGGAGTATTACAATCATTATGCCCCAAAAAATCCAAATACGCTTGGCATCCCATCGTGTGAGCACATCTGTTGCAGTGAATCAAAGATACCCCAAAATATTCACCCCAGGAGAAGTGATCACCAGTCAGAATGAATTCATGAGGTGAGCCCTGTAGCTAACAAATGTCCATTTCTATCAATTTTCCATCTATGCAGGGGACACGGTACCTATGAAGAAAACTCGGATCTGAAGGCTTCAGTAGCTGGAGTGAGACAGCAAGTCAACAATTTAATATCCATAAGGCCCCTAAAAAGCAGGTACAATGGGGAAGTAGGTGATGTTGTTGTAGGAAGGATAACAGAGGTGCAACAGAAAAGGTGGAAAGTTGCTACTAATTCCAGACTTGACTCAGTGTTGTTGCTGTCTTCAGTCAATTTGCCTGGAGGTGAACTGGTTAGTTGGTTCTTGCCTTCATTATGTAGTCAAATTTGAAAAGTACCTTCTCAACATGTTTTTTCATTTGAATCCAGAGGCGTAGGTCAGCAGAAGATGAACACATGATGAGACAGTATCTTCAAGAAGGTGATCTGATTAGTGCAGAAGTACAGAGTGTTTATTCTGATGGGTCACTTTCTCTCCATACTAGAAGTTTCAAATATGGCAAAGTAAGTACCTAAAATTTTTTTGTGGCTAAGCTCACTGCTCATTACATTTTTGTTAAAGCTGTCTCAAGGTGTATTAGTGAAGGTATTTCCCTCTTTGATCAAGAGGAGTAAAACACACTTCCATAATTTACCTATTGGAGCAAGTGTTATTTTGGGAAATAATGGTTTCATCTGGATTTGCCCAATTATAAACAATTCTGAGGATGGAGCATCTGGTTTCATTCAAAATTTAGAAGAGGTTAGTTATAGTTACTAGTGCTGTTTGATTTTCTGAGCAATCTTCCTTATTCAAAATTCTTGATACCATATTATTTTAGGTTGTGCCAAGACAGGATAGGGAAACAATTGGAAGGATCAGAAACTGTATCTTGTCTCTGAGTCAGAGCAAAATGATGTTGTATGATACCAGCATCCTTTATGCCTATGAGGAGTCTCTCAAATATACTGTGCCAGAGTTGTTGGTTCAGGAAGCTATGGTAGATGTTGCTATTTTAACACAACAAAGATTGTGTATGTTGGAGGATACATAAGAAATTAGACATTGTTATTTTCATTCAATTTGTTTTATTTCCTTGGTTAACTACTATTACTGTGAAAAATTTGGAGAAAATGAAGAAATTAGCCATTTATTATGGGTATGACTCATATTTTCTTCAGACATTTTCTATACAGTCTGCAGTAGTAGGTACCTAATGCTTAAGTGCTTGATGGTTGATAATAAACATTCACAATTTGATTGGTTGAAACTTGATCCCGTTTTTTTATAATTACCAGCTTTTTATATCACTACCTCTCTTGATAATGAGGTCATAAAGATTATTTCAGATAGAGAGTTATGTTATAATGAAGTTATTCATAACACTTTTCTCTCGACTTTTCTTTCACTTTCAAAGCATAGTTATGGCTTCATTTTTCCGTATTTTGAGACTAAGTACTCTTGATTTCAAAAAATAAAACTAAAAAAGTTACTGTGTATTTTGTATTTTGTTAAAAAATATCCATTAGGGCATTCTACACTTATATTTAAATACAAAAATGACTTAAAAAATCTATAATATATACAACAAGTCTCAATCGACAATAAATAACGAAATAAATAAATCCAGAAAGATCACAAAAGTTGAAAAGAGAATCAAAATCTTACCGCCACAAAATATCCTGCCTAACAAAAATTCAATCCTTGAAAAGGAGATTCGTCCGAGTATGTAACGGTAAAAAGTATCAATTCTTATACAGCGTTATCCAAAAAATCAACACATTGATCATTTCAGATATTTATTTTTCGGATCACGCTGTATATCACAAATTTTCAAAGCTGTCCCACCACCAGGCCATCACCGTCCCGAAAATTGAGTTACTTATCACTAAATATTGCGCGATTCCTAAAAAAATAGAAATGTCCCATCTAAGTAACAATATTTTCCTATAGCATAAGAATATACGAGGGTCGATCGATATTTCACATTCATTATTCTATTTGTCGATCACTGCGACCGCCCCTCGTACATTGAATATCAGTGTCAGTATGACCATATCGGTAATACTGTGATTATTTTTTTTATTCGGAGCACCAAAACTGGAGTCTATTTTTCTTATGTATTATCATTCTTCCGTTCAAGCAAGGTGTTTTCCTGGGTTCAACCACTTTTTCATGTAGTAACAGAAAAGCGTGCTGATATACAGTAGAACTAATAAGGCACATGTAACTCCCAAGGCCAACACTGACGTTTTCGTGGGACATGGTTCGACGATTGTTACGGTTTTGTCTGAAAAAATGAAAAGATTTCAATAAATAAATGAACAGTGAGAAAAACTATCAAGAAGTTTAATTTTAGAGACTTGTTGATAAGTCGAAAAATCTAATATACACCCAAATTGATTATTTGCCGAAATTATGTTCTTTGAATCGTGTAACTATATTTTAACATGTTTGTCCAATATACGTTTAATGTTCTTTATGAGCAAAAAAAATCAATCTGACTCAACTAAGAAAAAGCTAGTACAAAAAAATATATTTCACCTTTTCCAAATTCAGCGCTGTTCAGATCGCTTCTGAAGTAATCCGACTGTTTTTCGTCTCCGAAGTCCAAAACGAGAATTTCTTGGCTGAGCGTCATATCATCTTCTTTTTCTTCATCGGTTTGATTGTTGATGCTTCTCTTCTTTCTTCCCCACGATTCTAAAGAGTCTCTGCCCCATTCACAAACAGCCTGAAAATATTTTTTTTATAAACCCACTTCTATTTTCTCTACTTGAAAAATAAATAGATCAGAGAATGTCAGAATAACTAAAATTTTCCGGAATGGTCTGAAAAAAATGTCAACTTTTTTGAAGAAGTCTGAAGTTATAATAATAATAATGAGTTGGAGTTCCTGTTACCTCAGGGAAGTACCGAGTTGTTTTCTCAAAGGGTGAAAATTAAAAGTCCAAAAATCGATGAAGGTTGAACAAACTGAAAGTCAAAAGAGTAATAGGGGTATGGTGTACCTATATAAGAGTAACCCAGAACACCAAAAGATAATAACCAAGGGAAATAAGGTAGGAATTGGTTTTCTTCTTAAATTTCTGGAGGTTATATGCCCCGGGAAACACCTTCCTTGGCAATGTGTTCCAGAGCCTCGCTGTTCGTTGAATGAACGAGTCTTTGGAAAGAGATGTTCTGCAGGTCGCCAAAGTGACCACGAAAGGGGTGCGAAGCCTAAACTCGACGGGTTAACCCTTTGTGTGCCAGTGGTTCCACTGTGGAACCACCTATCAAATGATTTTTTCCTTGCGGACAAGTAAGCTTCAACTGGGAACACATTTCCACATGCTGAGTAGTGGGGGTAGGTGGTCACACTGAGTGCAGTTCCAATCCTAATTTGCCATTTGTAGTTGAATGTTTATAATTCTGGATGTTTATGTCCACAGTGCATTAGCACGGAGTCATTTGATTTGCGTTCTCCGGCTGAGTTTGATGATATGGCAGGTATGTAAATGGTTATTTTTGTTAGTTTCAATGTACATGAACATACTCCTACATCAGTTCGCTGAATTTTGCAATTTTTCACTTGATTTCTGGTAGTTTTGTGAGGTGGTCCCATGCGGGACCACCAGTACACTACTATAATATTTTTTGTAGTACACTTCTATAATATTTCTTGTACTCCAGGCAGATCATTTGATATTTCTGAGCTGAACAAATCACCAGTAGATGATCTTTTCACCTTATTGGAGAAAATTCCATGGGGTGATGAATCCGTTCAATCAGTTCACATGGACAATTTTTTCAATTCTGTTTTGTTACAAAGAAATCTGCAGAAATACAAAATTTATAGTTGCGGTACTGCACGAAAAGATAGGAAATGGTTTCCAGAGAATTTGTCAGATGATAAATGTATGAAGAGGGGTGATTAGGATTGGAGAATTACTGACACTGGAATAACTGCTCTCAAATGGAAAGATAATAAACCTGTACATTTTCTAAGCAAAGAAGTCAGGCTTGCTGTTGCGAATGGGCTGATTGGAGCGGATCCCGCAACTCCCCAGAGAGGCAGAAAGGGCCTTGGTCTCATTGTCAACAAAATATGAGTTATATGTTGCCTTAGAACGACGTATAAGTATCCATAGCAATAAGGTCAGATGCGCCAACTTAGTTCAAAGAAAGAACTGCATAAATCTAGATGGCACTGCTCTTCGTGTAACGTTGGACTATGTCTTACGAGTATTAAAAACTGTTTTGAATCATTTCATAAAAAATTACTCATAACTCTTCATAACATCATGTTTCTTCTGGCAAAATAAATTTTCAACAATTACTGAAATATTACCATTATTTCCCCAGTGATGCCTTAATGGAACCACCTGATTCTGTCAAATCTTTGTGTGCTATAATTTTTTTTTCAACAGAAAGTCGTTCAATTGATATATATAGAGTATAATTTTGACCTCAAAATCGATTTTTTCGAAAAAAAAATAATTTGGGCCACAAAGGGTTTCTCGCGGGGACTGCCAAGGGAGGAACAATTGATGATATTTCAGAAGAGCATCGTCCATGAAAATATTTATAAAATAGAGCCAGATCGCAAACTTTTCTACGGTGTTCCAGAGAAGTCAGTGAGTTTGTGGGCGTGCCATCACCCACGAGACGAATTGCCCTTTTTTGGACAGAATCAAACATTTTCAGGGTATGTTTGGGTGCTGCACTCCAAATATGGGAACAGAGTATTCCAGGACAGATCGGATCTGTGCCTTAATTTGCTGCTAAATGCCCAGCATTTATGATAAGAGAGTCAGATGAAACTCCGTCGACCACTACATGAAGAGATACCTGTTTGAGAAAAAACTAGCTAGCAGAGAACATAGCTGGGGAGGCAAGCCATATAAGATGGAAGCTTCGCGAGGAGTCCGTGGTGCCAGACTCGATCGAATTGACGAGATATTAGATTTCTGGGAATTCTTCGACTCCATTCAAAATGAAATATCATAAAATCTGAAAAGTACCCAGTTTTTTATAGTAAACAGAAACAGAAAAAAAACATATCAAGAAAATGAAGAGGGTTAACAGAAATCAGGAATTCGATGAGAAACAAGAACGTGCTAATTTCTTCCGTTTGGAGATTCCATATATAATCGTACTATTTTTTTTTCTGAGGTCATAAGTGAAAAAAAAACAGAATTTCTCCTAGATGCCTATGTTTTTTCTTCAGTAAATTTGCTAAAGCTATTCCTACACTCATCTCTTACCGGCTCGCAAGGTCCCAAGCAGTATTTGACGTTGCACTGGAAGATGACTCCGTAGGACTCGGTGAACCTGAAGGCCTCATATATCGACTGCAGGGCCGTACCATCGGGAATGAAGGCAGGGAAGATAGTTGCGTCAACCGGACATCCATCGTCGTCGATGATCTGGAAGGTGCTCTTGGAGTCTTTCGCCATAGCAACGCAACTTCTAGCGAAGATTCCGTAAGGAGCTGAAAATAATTGAGATTTTTTTTGGTGTCAGTATATCAATTTTGGAGCCACTTGCAGCCAGACAAATATATTCTCCAAGGTTAGGATTAGAGTGCGAGAATTGAAGAGGAAAGAAACCAGGGTATTAGTGAGTACATCAGGATCCTAGAACAGATGAACAATGACCTCATACGACGTCAGGCCATTTTGTGGACTGTAGAGAATTAGGGTCATTTTAATGATCGAACATTTTAGTAATCAGTGAGTTCTCTGGCATTCTAGAACTCTAGTGATTTCATCTGGATCCAAGAACTTCTCTTGAACTTGAATTCATCGACCTACGTTAGGTCACTTTGGCTCTTGTGCCACAAAGCTGCTTGCTAATAATTTTGGAACCACATGCAGACAAACATAGATATTTGTTAAGAGTTTATGATGAGAGTGCAAGAAGTGAAGAGGAAATATCCATGTCAGGTCACTCTGAAGCCTCAATAAGCTACAAGAATTGGTATTGAACTGGGGGAATAGCTATTCAGGATTCTAGGACTGAAGAGCGATGACCTCTTACGTCAGGCCTGGACAATCGAGGCATCAGTAAATTTATCAGGATCCAAGAACTGGAGTCTCAAGAGTATTTTAATAACTGGACCTTCTAGGAATCAGTGAATTCACCTGCATCCAAGAACTCCAGTGAGTTCATCTGGATCCAAGAACTTCTCTTGCACTTGAAATTATCGACCTACGTTAGGTCAATTGGTGACTGTAGACGCACTAGAAATTTTAGTGCTACAAAGCTGCTTGCTGGACTACATTAATTTTGGAGTCACTTTCAGAGGAACGAAGAGATTCGTGGAGATTATGATCAGTGTCCATGAACTGAAGAGGAATGACTTGGGTCAGATAACTCTAAAGCCTCAAAAAACCAGAATTCGCCTTCAATATATAAGTTTGGTGGCTGGGAATTCAGGGCACCAGTAACAGTACATCAGGCTCCTAGAACTAGAGAAAAATTGAGAGAATTTCTCAAGATCCAACAACTGAACACTGAAGAATATTAGGGTAATTTGAATGACAAAACATATTCTAGGAATCAGTGGGTTTATCTGAGTCCTAGAACTCAAGTAAGTTCATCTGGATTCTAGAACTCCTTATTTAGACAGGTTCGACCTACGCCAGATATCTCTGATGACTATTGACTCGAGAACCAGTAAGTGCTTGAGTATCCAAGAACTTCTCTTGAACTTGAAATTTATGACATTCGTTAGGTCGATTTGGTGACTGGAGATTCAGGGCACCAGTAATGAGACATCATTATCCTGAAACCCCTCTCAAGATGAAGAACGATTACGATAGGTCATTTCGGTGACTAGACACTCAAGGGTGAGTTGATACACCAGGATGAAGGAACCCTTTTTAAACTGAAGACGACCGACCTACGTTAGGTAATTTCGATGATTGGGCTTTCAATGGACCATCAGGAACTCCTCTTGGATTGAAGAGAATCGAGTGACCTTAGCTGAATAAAAAACCAATGAATAGGTATATGATAATCCTGGAGGAATGACCTAAGATGAAGTCATTTTGAAGAGCAATGACTTACGAACCGTCATATAGACTCAAAGCAACCCTGCCAAGATTGAAGGGTCTATCTATGATAGAGATCTGGATGATGAACCAATTCGAATACAATGATCTACGTCCAGATTATCCATAAGGTGGACCACTGTATGTTCATGATTTGGCCAGTCACTTGAAGATGAGAATAGATGAAATCGAAATATAAGAGAAAATTGAATATGTGGAGAAAAAAATTAACAACAGTGGATGATACAGATCATAGAAACATATATTAAAGTTGCTTACTATCTTCTGGAATTTCGATCCTGAAGGTGAGCTTGTCTCCAATCCTCACAGTTTCAACTTCACGTTGGTTGCTGTCCAAAATCCTGATCCTTGGAGGTGGTGCTTCTGGAGCAGAAGTGATGCTGATCATCTCTGGATCTCTGGAATCGAATAGGATGAATATTAGCGAATTAAGCTGATATACCTACTGAATGGCCACTTTTCATTGTCGTGTTTCAACATACCTGATTGGCATCATTCCGAAGGTGATGTTCTTCGATGACATATCGTAGGTGCACTTGACTTTGTAGATTTTGTCGGCTTTGGTCATAACTACGCTGTGATGTTGCAAAACGACTGTATTACTGTATACTCCTGTCTGAGAAAAAATATGAATGAATGCTCGGCAACAAGAAACATAAGGTGTCTATCATAGTTCCGGTAACAATGCATTTTTACAACTATGTAGGAATAAAATTCAAGATGGCGTCTCCAAGATGGCAGACAAATTTGTCATTTCTCATTCGAGTCTCTTGAAAATTTGTATGTAGGAGTTTTGAAGGCGGCTGACCAAGTTAACACAGATTGATCCCAGATATACCATATTAAAGGTCATCACATTCTTGCCATACATCACATGCATCCGAGATTCGAATTGAGAGTCCCACTGGAATCACAATAATGGCTGCTATTCGATATAATTGGACAAGAATGTGAGGTTTCAGTGAGTCAATTGGTTGTTAGCGAGCCTCACATATTTACCTACATTTTGAGTCTCACATTCAATAAAATGAGACAAATATTGCGTATGTTTTGTAACATAAAGAGTCCCCTGGTAGTACCAACGATGGTCCCATATAGCATATTCGACGTCCTAAGGACGTCCAGTTTAGGCCCGATATAGGTCTGAACGCCAGGGACCTTTTCAAGGAGTACTGAAAACGTCCATTTCTGGACGTACTGGGTACTTAAGATTCCGATGTACTGGGTACGTCCAAATCTATACGTTTTCGACTTGTAATGGACGGGATTGAATGAAATTGTATATACAATGTTACAATGATAATTGAAATCATTGCATATAATTTCTATCCTCGATCTCTGATATCTATTCATTTAGATACCTTGCAAACATGAACATGATACATCTCTGACAATTCATTTTTTACTCGATTACTCGCCGTATACCTGATCACAAAACTATTTAGGTATTCTCTGCCGTGATCATCTAGTTCTATGCAAGTATCGATGTGAAGGCTCAATCGACTTTCTTGTTGTATACTGCTACTATCATCAAGTCTTCTGTAGAGTAATAGGTAGATCATCTATCGAAGGTCGTAGGATCGATCCCCGGTAGGAGCACTTTTTTTAATTTAATCATTCAAAATAAGATTTTTTCTACCCTGTCTAGGTCTCTTTTTTAACTATCTGACTAAAAAAGGCTGATCTACGTTGATTCAGGTATCCATGGTCCCGTTCAGACCTGAACAGGACCTTGATCGTAGCATCGTATGTCCCCAAAACGTCCTGAAAACGTACGCTGTACCTGAAATGGACGTTCTGTGGACGTTTATGTGTTATCTGGGGTGTCTTATGATTCGCATTGTTACCTAGCGAGACATGAATATAACTCACCAGGGATATTTGTGTTCACTGGGAAGGAATAGGATTTTTTTACTTACCACAGATTGAGTGTTACAATCTTGGCCATTCATCGTCAAGTCCAATCTGAAGAGGTCGCTGTTAGCAACGTCAACGTTGCAAGTTTCAGACCTGCCAAGGGCGTAAACCCTGCCGTTGAAGGGTTTGTTGGTACGTACTTGGACGGCGATTTTGGTGTCTTTGCAATTGACAGATACTGGAAAAAAATGGGTTTTCGAGTATTCCGTTATGGATATACAGGGTGTCCCACTTCTAATGGAAACACCCCTGTATATCTTTCGTAATTGTTAAGTTAGGATTCTGAAATTTGCCGGAGCAGAAGATATACTCAACGTATCTTGCCTCCTGATATCATTTTCCGAAAATGTGGGTGGTTTCATGGTTGTTGGCGAGCAGTGTATATCCCTGAAGATGACCCCATGCACTTGGTTATAGTGTGTCTTTTCAGTATACCACTCGTTCCTGCGAATTTCAGAATCCTAACTCAACATGTACGAAAGATAATGTCAATTCTCAATTTCAGCAACAATTCGGATTTTGATTTTTCATGCTCTCTTTTTGGATATTCAACAGATATAATTAAATGCTCGACGTGGCAAATATCCAGGAAAGTACTTGTTTTCTGTTGAATATTCTGAATAATAATATATGCATATCTTTATATGAAGGAGAATGCAAATTCTCTATTTCAGAAGATTTTGTTTTCAAATTCTTATCGTGTGTAGATAGATGTAATTCAATATTCGTCGTGGCAGGAAAGAAGTTGTTTTCTGTTGAATAAACCGAGAAAGAATTAATATTTTCATCACGTGGAGAATGAGAATTCTTAATGTATTTCTTTATATATATCCATTTTTTTGTGTCCATAAATATATCTGAGAATATTCCTTTTCAAAAATATACGACTTTGTTATCCTTCGGATTACAAATAGAAATGTGTACAGATTCGAAATCTTCACAAAATTTGAAGAGCGTCTAGATGGTTTTTGATGTGAAATTTGCAATTTCTGAATTTCGTCACGAAAAATATACAATTATGTCCATATTAAAAACACGAATGTTTTTAGATTCAGAATCCTCGCGAAATTTTACGTAAGTCTAGATGGTTTACAATGTGAAATTTATTTTTTTTTTATTCAGCCAGTTAAACTTTTGGCGTAGGTGCAATAATTGTGATTCCTGTCATTCGAATAGTGATAATAATATTCAAAGAGTTTTTGTTGAATTTTCGTTGACTTACCATCATAACACGTTCCAGTTTTATCGCAGTTTACATCGCTTCTGGTCAAGTTGTTGAGTGTGGAATCTTCAGTGGTTTCGAAGACGACAGGAAGAATGTTATCAGATGTACCGGATGCGGTAGCGGCTTCTGGAAATTACAGATTTAAGTATATGCACTTATGCAGTAGTATACCTAATGCGGTTATTTATTATGCAACCATTAGAATCAGTAGATGATGATTGCAGAGGCGGCGCAACAGGAAAAGACGCTTGAATGCTATTATAACATTCGTCGACAGGATGTTATATTATCTGAGTCGATCCAGCTTGCAGTGGAGTGAAGATAATAAGGAAGGAAGAAAATTTTACAGTCAACTCCCATATAGCACTCGACGTTCTGGGGACGTCCATTTTAGGTCCGATTCAGGTCTGAACGTCCGGGACCGTTTCAAGACGTACTGAAAACGTCCCTTTAACATATACGTACTGGGTAAGTACGATTCCGTTGCTCTGAGTACATCCCAGCGAGCACAAACATCCCTGGGATGTTTTGGGATGTTTTGAAAATGTTGGCATGAAGATGTTATTTTGAGACGTAATATGCACTGACCAAAGAGGTCTTTGAAGGATATTGAAGTATTGTTTTTGTTCTCCTGTGGCATTTCTTTGTTTGCCTACTGAGAGGTATCCCTGGGATGTTTTGGGATGTTTTAGAAATGTAGGCATGAGGATGTTTCCTTGAGTCGCAATATGCACTTCCCAAAGAGGTCTTAGAAGGATATTGAAAGTATTGTTTTTGTTCTGTTGTGCCCTTTCTTTGTTTGTCCCACCACAACGTCTCATGCTTACGTCACGACAATACGATGAATTCTGATTTGTTTTCGATTTTGTTCTTCTTGTTCGCAATTGGCATTCGCGTTTGCAGCGTGTCACGCTTACATCACGCTGCTAACGAACAGAAAGGAATTTGGTGAAGTTTATTGTGTTAGAAGACTTATTTAGTTTGTAATAATGACCATCAGATGCAAGATGTGTTGTTCGGTGCCTCAGTGTAATCAATATATAAAAGTACGAATTCATCAATACACAGCTTCTCCGCAGTTGCAAAATTATGCATTGTGGAGAACATTTCAAAAATTGGGAAACCCATTTCCAATTATATGTCTGTGTGTAGTAAGCACTACTCAGAAACCGATTAAGAAGGTAATTTCATATCAAGAAAATATTTTTATGTTCATTCTATTTTTAATGCATTTTTCATTCAAGGGAAATGGAATCCTAATGCAAAAGTTCATTTTGACAAAAGGCTTCAGAAAAGTACCTCGAAAATGGTTTTTTTACAGCGATGTGCGCAAGACGCGTTGAAAATGTTTTGTTGTGTCCATGAAAAGGCTTTAAAAAGAACTAGGGAGAAGGTAGTTTTGTGACATATCAAGGACATCTCGAAAATTGCCGCCTGCGGCAGACATTGGCTGTTCTATAAAAGTTCTATTCATGTATGAACAGAACATCGCAGTGGAGGTTCAATGTCTCGAAATCTCGTACTTTTAACATCTCCGAGATGTTTTTGTGCTCGCTGGGATCTAACTCTGGAAGTTATTGACTTTTTGTGGACGGGATTGATTAATTTGTATAATGATAATTGAAATAATTGCATATGATTTCTACCCTCGATCTCTGACATCTATTCATGTAGGAACATGCCAAACATGAACATAATACAATTCTCACAATTCATTTATCACTGGCCGTACCTAATCACAAAACATCTATTTAGGTATTCTCTGCCGTGATCATATAATGCTATGAAAGTGTCAATGTAAAGGGTCAATCGACATTCGCACATAATCTCTTGTTATACAGGGTGACTCATTAGGAATGGGAAATCTCTGAACTACAGATAGTAAACACAAAAATAATGAGATTTAGCCCAAAATGCCTGATGAGAATGTTGCTGGTTTAGGAGATACAGGGTGGTTAAGGAGAATATATTATTTCAAAATATATCCTTCTTAACCACACCCTGTATCTCTTAAACCAGCAATATTTTTATAAGTCATGTTGGGCTGTTGAGCTAAATCTATTTATATTTGGGTGTTTACTATCTGTAGTTCAGGGATTTCCAATTCTTAATTTGATAAATAAAGTTATTAAAATGTGATAATTGGAACAAAAATCTCTTCAAGAGCGAATAACACAAAAAAGTTAGATAATATTTGATAAAGAGTACATTTTTCATGTGAAATTGAACGAGCTTTCAGATTTTCCACTCATTTTGATCATCAATGAATTGACATAGAAGATATGTAAATTATGGAAGTAACAGAGTGCCACTAGTGCCTTCTATGAGCAATCACAAAGTAAGTTGCAAAGTCATATTCCTCATGTCAGAAAACCTAGAAATACAAGATTTCATGTTCATGCTGTTGAAACTAACGAAGTTGTTGTGACATTTCGAAATAAAATCTCCCCCTAGACCACCCTGTATCTCCTGAACCAGCAACATTTTCATCAGCCATATTGGGCTAAATCTCATTTTTGTGTTTACTACCTGTAGTTCAGAGATTTACCATTCTCAATGAATCACCCTGTATACAGATTAATAAGTGTTCTGTAGAGTAATTGGTAGAGAATCTGCCAGGTTCTGAGATCGATTCCCGGTAGGAGCGCATTTTTTAAAATGTCTTATTCAGAATAAGATCTTATTCTACTCTGTCTAGATCTCTTTTTCAACTATCAGAGTAAAAAAGGCGAGTTTACGTTAATTCAGGTATTCATAGTCCTGAATGGACGTACTGAGGAAGTACAAATGCGCGGAATCTGGACGTCCCCAGTACGTGCCTAGTACGCATACGATCCTAATCTGGACATCCCCAATACGTAGGTACGTAATGTCTTGGCTGGACGTTTTTAGTACGTTTTGGACTGATGCTGTATGAGACCTTACTTTATACTCTTCTTAGGTACCCAACGAACACATTGAAAAGTTCAATAACCATCCTCTGGTTATAGCCCGATTAAAAAGTTTTCTATTGTCGAATAATTTTCAGATCGTACCTAGTACGTCCACGTCTAGTACGTCTACGGTTCTAATCTGGACGTCCCTAGTACGTATACGAAACGTTTTGGCCGGACGTTGTCAGTACGTTTTGGGGACGTACTGTGGTGCTATCTGGGCTCCACCATAGCTTTGAAGCTTCTAAACATGCCCCAATTTTGAATAAAGTATAGTTTTGGTGAAGTTGACTGTAAGATTTTGTTCCTGCCCTAGGATTTTATATGCCCGGGGCTGAAAAACCAACAATTTCTCTAGCATTTATATTTTTTTCGAGCACAGTACCTATCACAGCGCCACCTTCAAAATGTTCGTAATATCATTTATTTTATGGCATATTGTACCCATTGTTTATTTGATTACCCATAATAAATTGAAGATCATGTTAGAAAAATAATTTGCTATCTTTACTTTCCAAAATGATCCTGAATTCTTGTGTGCAAGATCCCAGCGTAGTTTAAGACGGCCTTTCCTGTCATAACATCAGTAGATCATATCATCAAAATGATGAAACACTTGGAGAATGCTTTGTTTTCGTCGAAAACAGAGTGACGCCACTGGAGAAAAGGCGAATTTGATTACCGTTTGGAAATGTATTTTATAATTAAAAAACAGACCAAGCACTTTGAGAAAAATTTGAATAAGGACATGCGAGATATTGATTAAAAAAGGTTATCCTGACTATCAGAAAGATGGGTGGATATACATAGTCAATTGATTCAACGATTATTTTCAGTGCCGTAGCATATTCCCTATAAGTATAATTGTTTTCGGTAATAATATAACGAATTTTCTCAAACAAAAGTTAGAGCTATCCATTTACTTATATATCTCTAATTTCACTACTTAATGATCATCTTTAGGAATATTTCAATGCAATATTTGCTGTCATCAGTTGTTATACAGTATATAGTGGGAATTCTATGCCCATGAATAAGAGATCCAAACTTCGAGGAAGAATATTATGTATACTTTAGATGTGACTTTCATATACAGGGTGGAGACTTTAACTGTGGGAGTGAATGATTCTTCTGAAAATTCGCGAGACACGTCAACGTTTGAATCTATTTAGGTACCTATATTTGGCGAGCAATATGGGGAATATAACCCTTCAAGGGTAGCTGGAATCAACCCCAGCATGTCTTTTTCATTTGCAAACCTATGGCTTGTGACCCCTCATTAGAAAGCTGGTTGAAAGAGGAATCCAGCGTATTGATAATATATCAGTTTGTATATACGTTTGGGGGTCATAAAATCAAAATATAATTCCGGAGTTTGATATATTTTCAACGAATTTTTATCAAAATTTCAACTTTTAGTGACAGTGATATAGCGCATTTCCACCAGTTTACAATAACACTTCGTTTCGAACTGTGAATACGACAAAAAATCCAAATTTCTTTTTACGGCTCTATAAAAACACTGGAATACAATAACAAATAGCAGTTGTGACAAAAAATTGCTATCAATTATTGTTCAATGCACATTTTTACCGATTGATACGTTGAGAAAAAATTGAATTTTGAATTACATTTCAATTCCATGCAACCTTCAAAATATGAAAACCTGAAATTTGACTAGTACGCTGGATTCCTCTTTTCACCAGCTTCCAAATGAGGGGTCACAAGCCATAGGGTTACATTTGAAAAAATCATCGTTGAGGATGGTTTCAGTTACTCCCGGAGGGATATATTCTCGATATTGCTTGCGAAAAGTTGGAGAATCCATTAAATCGTAGACGTATGTTAGGAATTTTAATAAAAAATATTCATCTCCCCGCTAACGAATTTAGCCGATATAGGGTGTTCAAAATAAAGATTTTTCAACTTAAGGATTTTTTTGTGTCGAGACCATTCATTATTGGTCAAAACGGATTTTTTGTCCCCATCTCAACTTTTGATCTACTATCTACTGCCATTTGATTGGAACATTCACAGGGTGGTTCAAGATTCAGAATTCTGATCACCCTGTATCTGTTCCAATTATTAAATGTCAGTAAATAGTAAATCAGAAGTTAAGATTTTTTTTTAATCGCTTGGAGTGCACGAAAGGAAATCCCTATAATGTTCGAAGAACATCGTGCGTTCCTAGGG